AAGGGGTTACTCCTTAAAACAATAATAATAATTAATATTTTTATTATTGAGTCGTGTTTGTGTTCGTGTTTAGTGATAGCTTACTTTTTTATAATTGTGCAATGGCAACATTTAACAATTATTATTTATCATACATAGCCTGTGACATACAAAATTTTTTCATTATTATAATGCAAAAAATAAAGTAAGTTTACAATATTGTTATATATTATCCTACAATTCTTATTCAATAACAAATTGATAATAGGGTAATGTGTCTCAAGATAAACTTGACATTTCAAAAGTAATTTTTGGCGCAGGAGTTTTCAGTATCAGGTATAATCCTATTAAGGAAGTACGGCCTTTGGAGTCGGTGCATAAAGCATTAAAGCTAGGTAACTTCATATATATACACACATACACATGCAAATGCATGTGTAGGCTCAATTAAACATTATCTGCTATATATACATGCATACATAGGTATAAATGGATTTGATACAAGCCCGTATTATGGAAATAGTGAAGAAATTCTTGGTAATGCACTAGAGTCATTAAGATCAGAATTTCCTAGATCAACATATTATATATTTACAAAGGCTGGTCGATATGGTCATGATAAAAAAGATTTTGATTATTCTGCTAAACGTGTGAGAGAAAGTGTTAGAGAAAGTTGTAGACGTTTAAAAACTGATTATTTGGATATTGTTTTTGCACATGATGTCGAATTTGTTGAGTTAGAGAAAGTTATTGAAGATGGTGGTATTTTACCTGAGTTGTTTAAATTAAAAGTAAGAATTTTTTTATGTTATAATAATTATGATAATGATAGTAATGCAATGATGATTACATAATTATGATAGTAATTGTAATATTGACATGAATGATTGTGATTATTATTATTATATAGGAAGAAGGAATCATCAAATATGTCGGAATAAGTGGTAAATCAAAATCATATATATGTATATATATGTGAGTGTGTTTGTTTATTTATTTATTTAAAATCATTAATTTTTTAGGTTATTCATTAGATATACTTTTTAATATTTCTAGAATACAATATGAAAAAAAACAACCAATAGATGTTGTATGAGTTATTCTCATTATTGTCTTCACAACACACAATTAAAAGATTACATTGAAAAGTTTAAAAATTCAGTTAATGTAAAATATGTATTAAATGCTTCACCACTTAGTATGGGTCTTTTATGTGAAATTGATCCTCCAGAATGGCATCCTGCATCTGAGGAATTATGTGAAATTGTCAAACAATGTACAAAGATTGCCAAGGATAATAATCTCAATATTTCAAAGTTGGGTATTGATTTCTCATTAGATTGGGATAAAGCTGATGCTACAGTTGTTGGATTATCAAATATGGATGAAGTTGATGACGTGGTTTCAATTTTTAATAGAGTTATGGCTAGGAAGAATGGTGAAAAAGATCATTGTTTATCTGATCTGGAGATTAAGGTTTATGAAAAAATTAATCAATTACTTTTGCCATATCATAATTGGGAGTGGGAATCTCCACCACCACCATCTATTACCCTTTGAAATAAACATTTGAAAAGAATGGCAAATAACTTTTTAATAATAATTATTACTATAAATAATTTATTTATTCCAAATTGTTGAAATTCATTAGATAAATAAATTTTTTCAATTATTTACTATTAATTAATCTCAAAGCTAGTGTTGGTTTCCCAAAACTAGAGAGCATCGCAACCATGTAAAAGTCAAAAGGTTTTGCCAAAAGTCAAAACTAATTTTGATTTTTTGACTATTGACTTTTGATTTAGTTTTGACATATAACTTTTAATTTTAGTTTTGACTTTCGCCTCTTCAAAATAGTTTTGGTGACCAACACTACTCAAAGTTGATGTTGATTAAATACTGTTTTTATTATTTTACTATTTTAACAATCATCATGGTACCAAACAGATTCTTCAAATGAAACACATCCAATATTATATTCCAAGAATCCTGAATCTTGATATTTGTCAAGTAAATTTTTTAATTTCAATGATACAGATTCTCCAAAAAAAAGCTGGAAAATTTTTATTGACAATGGTTTAGGCCCCTTCCAATTCGTCATTAACATTTGTAACATATCATCATCAATACTTGGTATTTCTCTGAATATAATTTCTCTTAATTTTTTGGTAATGTTTGAACTAACACATTAAAAAATGATTTTCCATCCAGACCTCCAAAGTGAATATATTTTAATGAAAGTGTCTCCAAATAGACACAATTGACAAGTATTTTACCTAATTCTTGATCAAATTCACTATCATATAATAATGATAATCGTTTTAATTTATGACAAGATTGAGCAATTGATTGAAGTAGTTCCTGTAAATGGTCTACATCATCCGGTTCCCCTTTAACTACTAAAGTACTAAGATTTTTGCCACTGATTCTGATGAAACTTGATATGTTTGATAGAGTTTTCTGAGAACTGATTTTTAAAATGAAGGTTTGAATGTTTGGCAGCAATGCATCTGTTAAATTGTCAGTTACCTGATAAGATTGATTGTACCATGTTCCGCTACTTAAATATAATTTCCTTAAATTTTTAAATGATGATACATGATAATCAAAATTATTATTATATTCACCACTACAATAATCAACAATTGACTGCGAATGCTTCAATAATGCATTAGTAATATTATCTGGTAATTTTATATCTTTACTGGTGTTAAGTGTCAAACTCTTGATTTTATTTTGATGCTGAATTAGCTTAGATAAACCTGTATAACCTGTACAATATTTACCAAAGTCAATTCTTAACACTTGAATGTTTTTGCATGCTAAATGCAATTTATAAAAAAAATCATTATTATAGGAAGAACTACAATCTAATTCGGAAAGATTTTGAAAACAATTCTTATATAGTGCAAGTCACTTAGTCACTGAACTTTTTGTGCTACACTGCCATTTTTTGAGAAAAAAATTTCCAATCAAAAATGCAATAAAATTTGTATATATGGTCACGTGTTTTTGAATATTGTCAAATGCAGAATTTTATCCAAATCATATAAACATGTGTATATCATTATTACATTGTAAAAATCAAATCACAA